AGAGAGAGAGAGAGAGAGAGAGAGAGAGAGAGAGAGAGAGAGAGAGAATGAGAAGAAGAAAAAAGAAGGATGAACAGGGACAAGGATAAGGAAAGGAGGAAGAAGATGAAGTTTAAGAGAGAATCTAGATCTGGGTTTGCAGAGGTAAGGAAAAAGGAAAGATAAAGGAGAGACAAGTGAAAGAGGAAGAAGAAATGACGTTGATGAAAAAAAAAAGATATCATTATTTTTAAATAAAATAAAAATATCAACTCATACAAAAGATGACCAATTATTATTATTATTATTTTTCATGTCATTAGTTTAGAAAAAAAAATTGATTTGCTAACAAGTTAACATGTCACTTGTCCTTTTAACTTATGGAAAGATTATTTTTGTATTAAAAATAAAAATTTAGAGATAATTTTAGTATTTTTTAAAGTTAGAAGATAATTTTGATATCAAAATAAAAAGTTGAGGGATCAAAATGGCATTTAAATTTTTTAGAAAAAAGTTTCAATGCTTAGTGTTGACACCTATCAAGGTGGCATCGACACCAAATCGGTGTCGGGTTTTTTTAATCTTTCCACAATTAATTCAATGGTAAAATAGCACATATGATCCTCTCACTTCTATATAATGAGCACTTTGATCCTTTAACTTCTTTCATTCTTCAACTTTTTTCTTATAATATAATCCCTCGACTTTCAAATATTTTTACTTAAGTCCCAAATCTTCTATTACTATGCATTTAAGTCTGTTTTTGTGCAAAGAATAAAAATTATGTAAAATTAATTAAAAAAACACATTTTACCTATCTAAATGGTAATGAAATTAAGGCAAAAATAAAAAATTAAAACATATAAAATGCATCTCATCATTTGAGAGGCAATTTTTCTTTCTTGTGAGAGCTTTGGTCGCTTTTTCTCGTTTGTTTCTAGCTTTTCTTTGCTCGGTGGAAGTCTTTTCCTTGGAATCATGTTGTGATCCATCATTGCATTTGAATGAAAAGTTTTGTGTGGTCTGTCGTTGGCTCCTCAAAACAAAGTTGATGAAGATGGAGAGGGGAGGAGGGAGGAGAGATAAAGAGAAGGATGGAGGAGGATTGGAGGAAGAAGATGAAATGTTTTTTGATTTTTTAAATCAATGGATAAAAAAATAAAAATAAAATTTATAATTTGTAGATCCCACAATATTGTGTAGAGTCAAATATTGCCAAATCAGCAAAAAAATTCCATCTTTCTATCCCACGCATTATTTTTTTGACAAAAAATTTTAATTTGTACATTTAATAGTATATTAATATTGTATTTTTTAATAATTAACTTAAAAAATAAAAATTGATATTAATTTTAACAATCCTTCTACAAAAGAACCATTTTAATCCAAGAATGGCCTCAAGCAAAGCTAGGGATAATTTTAGTATTAAATGAGAAAGTTCAGAAACCAAATTAGTCATTAAACCAAATAAAAATATTGTAAAAGCAATTT